GTTTCTTGTCTTTTCCTAGCTCTTCAAGTATGTTTTCAGTGATATCTCCTAGATTCAGTTTTTTTTTTCTCTATTCTTGTTATTTTGGATTTCTGCCTCAGTTGCAAGCAAGTACTTCATTAAATTAGCTAAACTCATCTCTGTCTACTAATCTCTGCATTTGGGTGCTCAAAACCTTAACCCAACCATGACACAAAGAATGACCTTTTTCTCCGAGGCGATAGTGTTCAATTTTCCAACTTGTGGATGCTGGTATTCTCCATTGTTCTTTCAATGCCACTACCCTTTTTCTAAGCAGTATTTTGCGTAGTGGCCAAGAAATGCAAACACACTGCAAATACATTAAAATAGCTGGAAATACAAAAAATATATGCAAGCACAAATATGACATTATCAGACAAGTATACTTATCACATGGACATGAAAAAAAGCTACAAATAGAAAACTCTACTGCAAGTTAAGAAAAGCTGCAAATTAAAGCTTAATAAGGGAATGGCTCCAAGCCACTAGAGGGAGTCCAACACTGAGTCAGACGGGAACAAGCATTCCTATACCAGACCCTTATTAAAGGCTACGTTCACACTGCAGGCCTTGATGTTCAATTCCGATTTTTTTGTGAAATCCGATTTTTTTGCGTTGTCATTCATATTTCCAAATATATGTTACTTGTATGTGATCTCCTGTGAGAACTGCAGTCATACAATGCAAGTGTCCCGCATGCGCAGTAGAGGACGCAATGACGTCACAGGCCAGCGTGCTCCATGTTTACGTAAAAAAACATGGACGGTAGTGCCGGTGCTCATCTAGAGGTCTTTTCCAACCATAAAAACTCAATCTTTACAATATGGTTAAACATAAATACTGCTCTAAGCATCATCATCCACCATTGTTGTTGTTTCTCTTGCCGCTTCTGCATAGCAAGACGCAGAACAGTGACCTTTGTCTGGTATTAATGATTTTCAGGTCGGATGAAACCAACCTGGCCGTTCAGACATAGGTCGCATTTGAAAAGATCAGATTGTTATCGGATTCAGGACCATATAGCCAAGCGGTCTGGGTCACATTGGGAAAAATCGGATCTGTGTTGTTCAGATAGCCATGAAAAGATCAGATCCAGGTCGCATATGGGCCACAAAATCGGATTTGGATCACTTCAGGCTGCAGTATGAACATAGCCAAAGAGTGCTACATTTAATGCCTATGGTGTGATCAGCCAGAAAATAAAGGAGTTGGTAGTGAATAAAAAAGTGATGAGTCACGGGTTTACGACAAACCGCAGTGCAGGAAAAGCTTAACACACTCAAGAACGACGGCGGAAATAATGATTACAATGGCTAGAGTCAGACAAACTGAAAGATATTGTTTACTTTAGAAGACAGTTAACAAATAAAAGATAAAAATATATAATTTTTCTATGTAGAAATCATAAACTCTGCATGGAGAAAGAAGAAGTCTGTATTGCGTCAAGATTCTCCCAAAAGTACACATAGGCAATAAATTCTCCTACGAGCAGCTTTACTTCATCCAGACACACAGAAACTACCCCTCATGCACATGTTTAACATGTTACATGTGTAAATAGAGTACCACAGGGCCCCAATATATCATTCACATGAGTGCTTGTTGCTTTTCCAAGCATGTGGTTTGATTTCCAGGCGTGAAGTTTACCCCCTTCTCGCATGTCTTCTGTTTCTGTCAACTTTTATCACTTTAAAGGTGTTATTCAACGTACAAAGCAACCCGCCTGTGATTGGCTCCTTTCCAGGAAATCCTGCCTCTTGATTTGTGACGCGCTGCCAAGGTAACCAGCGTAAACTGTCTCCCTGTTTCCAGTTAACGTTCGGGCTATCAGAAACTATCGGGGTATTTGACCTCTTTTTTTGTAGATGGCCTATAACCATTTTTAACCCTACAGTCAATCTTTTAACATTGTCCTGTCAGGGAATGTGGCAAGAAGAATAATTGTCCTAGATGCCAAAAAGAGAGCCCAAACAATTTTGCTTTCACAAGTGGAGCTGTACGCCTATCGCCATAGTTTTCCGCTGGATTTATGCATATAAACAGCTTTATTTTAAATCATGCAGGGAGTCTTACCCATTATATGGACACTACAATGCAAGTAGAGCAGGAAAGGAAAAACAGAAAAAAAGGAGAAAAGATGAGAGAAAGAGAAGATAAAAGGGAGATTACGATAAAACATCTTCAGTCTGCTTCATCACCTGCAAAGAGATATAAAAAGAACAGCACAACCAATGGATATAGTATAAGAGATACAATAAAGTAACACCATGATACTATTGCTGAAGTATAAGTAGTATTATTTAATCAGACACGCATACTGTGGTGGCTGAAGATCAGAATATGGGCTTTCTGTATGGAAGTGACT